GGGGGGGGGGGGGGAAGGGAAGAGGCTAAGAGCTGAAGATTAATGTTTGAAGGCAGTCCAGGCAGGAAAGTTCATGAGACTCTCCAATTAATCAGCAGTGAAGGTGTGGCTCAAGCAGTAGAACACTAGCCTTTAAGCAAAAACAAAAACAAAAACAAGTGAGAGTATGAGGCACCAAGTTCAAGCCCCAATTTGTATGTCATGTTGGATAGTTTTTTGCACATCCCCATAACGAGAACTAGTATGAAATTCTACTGGTTTTAGAATGTGGTGCATGCTTCATTAACAAGGTATCTGTCTGTGTGACAACCATACAATCCACACTTCCCTAACCAGCTGGGATGTGGCTTAAAACAAGCCCTCGTGTGCTGGGTGGGGTGGCACACACCTGTAGTTCTAATTTCTTGGGAGGCTGAAGTGGGAGGATTACTTTAGCCTACACCCTGGTGAAAATAGTGAGACCAAGAAAGAAAGAGGTAGAGGAAGAGGGTGGAGGATTAGAGAGAAACAGAAAAAGCTTCATGTGCCACCCTTCCCCAGATTTAGCATGTATTTAAAAAAAACAAACAAACCTGCCCATCTAACCTGTATTATAGACTGCTGGAGAATAAGGTTCAGGTGAGAAAATCTGGCAGGTGCAGTGGTACATGCTCCTAATCCCAGCACTTTGGTGGCTGAGGCAGGAAGACTTTGAGTTCCAGGCCAGCCTGAGCTACATAGCAAGACCTTGTTGAGAGAGGAAGGGGATGGAAGAGAATGGATGTCCTATGGAAAAATAAGTCTTTGTTAAATTATTTTGGGGGCTATCCACTAATTCTTCGGGTAAACTCTGCTAAGTACCTTTAGAAAGACAGTAAACTTAGTACAGGCATACAAAGTTAAGGCAGATTTAGAGCCAATAACAAGAAATGTCCCTACAAACACCACCCTTTCACCTTCTACCCAAATTTAAGTAAAATAAAATAGAAAGCTAAATAGAGGGAGAGAGAAAAGTCAGGTGGGATAGAGTTCTGAGTGAAACAACTCCCAGGACACTAACCTCAGGAATAAACATATAAGGCCTTGGGTTGAGGAGAGTGGGAAGGAAAGAAAGCAACACAGTTTAAAGCATAGATACACAGCAGAGCAGAGAACAATTCTGAGAATTCAGAGGCAAACAGCAAACTAGACAGTAAAAGCAGTGTACCATCATTTTTTTTGGGGGGGGGTCTGGTCGTGGGGGCCTGAACTCTGGGCCTGAGCACTGTCCCTCAGCTCTTCAGCTCAAGGCTAGCGCTCTACCACTTGAGCCACAGCACCACTTCTGGCTTTTTT